TTTTTGCAACTTGGAAACATAACAATAAGTGTTTTTTGCAGTTCGTGATTGAGGTAACAAAATTACTTATTTTGCTTTTTATTTGTGAGAAAATTTTGCATGTATGTTAATCAAAAAACAACAAAAAAAATATTTTTTTTTAGAAACGGAAAGGCACTCGAGTTCACCGCGTTTGAAAATTTCTAAACAATAATACAACGGAAGTTTTACAAAAAATTATTGCATATTTTGACTTTTAAAAAGATGAAAAAGTTTGGTTGGATGTTAGCTTTGTTTTTGATAAACCACAAAAAAAAATTTGCATCTTGCAAAAGAACTTCTATTTGAAAAAGTTTTTAGCTTTCTTGTTTAAAAAGTTCAAGAGAAATAATTCATTCTTGCAAAAAACTTATGTTCAATTTTTGCAAGTTGCGAAGCATTTTAATTAAAGGCAGAGAACAGCTCACTTTCGAATGACTTGCCAATACTTTTCGCTTCTTCTCTTGCATAAACTCCATTATATATCTTTATAATTTTCTATCTATTTGGCATGTTTTTTGTCTTTTGCAAACTTGTTAAAAACTTAACTCATTTTGAAAACTTGCAAACTATTTCAAAAAAAAACTCCACGGTAAAATTTAATTAAAATCAAATGTATCAAACCCGTTCAAATTGAAATACAGTTGAACTTGACAGCAATTTCATGAACAGTCTTTCAATTATCAGAGAAGTTGACCCGCTCACGTTTTACATAATCATAAAAATAATTTAATCAATCAAAAATTTCCAGCAAAGCAGATTCATACTTTAAGTTTTCATCTTTTTGAATTTTTTGCGAAAAAAATGATTTCAGAGTCTGGGTAGAAGCAAGCTTCAGAGCAAAGTTTAGATGAGATTTTTGAACTTTTTCCGCAGTATATGATTTTTGCAACAATTGGTAATTTTCTAGTGTTCTACGCTCCAAACTGTGTTCGACTGCTCATCTCAATTGATTGAATACTCAACCAATTGATGAAAAAACAATTCGAATTGGAATAAAATCTGGAATTATACAATCTATAAATACAGTCAGCAATTGTGTGAGTGAAAAAAAAATTTGTCTGATTGCTGCAAAATTGAAATCAAAGAAGTCGCTTCTTGGAAACTTCTCGGAAGCTTTATGTCTGTTGAGAACTGCAATGTTGCAATGTTCAATAAGTTTGATGAACGACTTTATCGTAGTCTTACTTTTCAAATAATTGTCCACTTAATTTTTTGAAGTGAGCAGAATGAGTAGAAACATGGATTTGTCATGACATGTCAATTTCAAGCTTCAAATTAAGTTGGAATTTTTTCAAAACATTCAACAGAAAAAGTCTCAGAATTTTTCACAAACAGTTTTGGAGTCTCAAGTTTTTCAATAAAGAAAGATTTCGATACAGAATTGCTCAGTTTGAGGTGATTTTGCTTTATGGAGGATATAATTTTTTTTTATTTTCAGTCAGAAAAAAGAAAAATATATCTTAGAACATTGTAGGTAAGAAAACACTTGGAAAAAAAACAAAGTTTCAATTGAAAACAAGAAGAGTATGATACACTTCAGTTTTGTTTCATATAGAGACATGCAAAAAAAACGTTTATCATTTTTGACGAATGCACCGTAAAAATTGAAAGCTCAAAGATTGTAATTAATTCTCAGATTTTTTGATTAAGCAAGACCTTCAATCGAATATCAAAAGAAAAAGTTACTTTCTTTGAGCCTGTAAACTTTTGAAATCCGGATATAAATTTCAACAAAATGGACCAAAATTTCCACTATGGTGGTCCAATTGGATACGGAATATTCTGTATTTTTTTCTGCAAACTCAAAAATCTATAGATACCACATGGTTCTGCTGTATCTTTGAAATCTACTACGTAGAAAGGTCTGGGCTATTGTTGCACCTAGACTTCCCAGCTCAAGTTTTCTTTTTTTTCTATACACTGAATTTTTTTTTGGCGTAAGAAACAGCTCGTTATCAAACATTCTATGAAGCTCAAAGACGCGCAAAATTTAGCAAAAGAAACCATTTTAAGTGATAACATGGTCAATTTCCTGAAGTTAAAAAGCTTCAAATTCAAATAGGGCCAAACTGAAAGACTAAGACATTGGAGTAACAGAAGTTAAGAATAAAAAGGTGCGGGGAAAACAACTATCTTTTCGATGTTGATCTTGAATGAAGTAAAAAGAAGCTAAACGTAATTGAGTGTGATTTAAAAATTGAAAAATAGAGTTGAATACACGCTGAAAGTAGAAGTATAGATATAATAGAAGGAAGAATTAATAATGGAATAGACAGAAGAATTAAGAATGAAATCAATGATTTCATAGTTAATAGTGACCGATTTTCAAAATCACTACATTCTACGCCAAAAAAAGTTATTTGCCACTGGAATTGTACGCTGAAACCGTTTTAAGCACTGGCGGCTCTGGAGCTACCTCGATCCGAAGGAGAATGATATATGGGAGGCAACAAATGTTCAGCCTTTAATTTTCTGATCGTATTTTTTCATTGAGTTGTCATCAAGTTCTTAAATGAATATAATTGAAATATAAAGAAACGATCTAATCAGCGTCAGCAGCAATAAGTTACAATGTTTTATTAACTGCAGAGTGAAAATTTGAGTGATAAGATATTCACTGGTATACTTGAATGAAAATTTGTATTGTAATAATTACAAGAGCAGGCGTTCAATCTTTTTCAAAAAATTTTAGGATCTAAATGCTTGTATAAGGAGTTGATAATCACTATCTCAGAATTTACTAACTATAAAATGATTCAGATCATAGATGACACACTTATAACCAATGATGTCCAGCTAGTCTGGTGAATTGCAAATTTTTATGAGGGGAGAGCAGGACCGGCTAACTTTACCTTGTCATTAACTGATAGCAACAGTAATTTAGTAATTTGCTCTAATTGTTGGGCTCCACAATACTTTAAAAAAAATTTAAAAAAACACCCATAATCTTTTTTATGTCAAAATCTCACCAAACTTGTTTAGTACACCCTGAAGTAGACGAAAAAAAGGGCTGAAGTAGAGGATGGGACAAAATTAGGACAGCAAAAAATCATCAACAACTCCCAAAAATCTAGGCATATTTGACCTTCACTGTAAAACAGGCAAGTTGGGCAACATTTTTTTGTCAAATTTGAAAAAAAAATGTTTTTGCAGAAAATGTTTTGAATATTTAAAGTTTTTCTTTCCAAAAATGGCGCTAAAAACCTCAAAAAATAACCCAACTTAAATTAAGCATAAATTAGCTACTATGAGCCAAACCTTACTATAACAAACATTCATCGCTCCTTTTATTCGCTCGAATTTAGACTGAAACCAAAACTGTTAAATGGATATGCTGTTTTCAATACTATGGTTACTTTCTCATGTCTTTTCGAAATATCAAAGTCTGTTTCATTGTAAAAAAGTAATAGTCGTTCGAATCACTATGATAAATCAGTCGATCCATTCCAATGACTTTTTGTTGTACCTGATTTTGTTTGGAAAACTATTAAAAAAGAAAAGCTAAAACACACCGGATCACAAAGTTACTCCCCATGATCAATGGTCGGAACAACAAACTAATTCAGATTTCAGCCAGTTGATTTACTCATACTCAGCTTCTTTCTCTCCTTTTTTGGCCTTCTCTACTCTGCTTTTGCTATTTTTTCAATAGACTGTTTAACCCTCGCCTGCAGGATTTAGCTGTGGTGATTAAACCAACAATATACAAGACCAAACAAGACTGCTCGTATCAGGGCGAAGCCCTGAATGTTCCGACTGCCTTTTAAGGTTTATTGAGCAGCAGTAATATATAAAAAAAAATGAAATAAAATAAAATGAAATTTTTTTTCTTTAAAATTTGAAATTTTTTATGAAATCATCCCCCCACACGCCATATAAAGTACAAAACAATAGATTTTGCTCATTGTAACATATCAATTATGACAAATATGCTTCTTTCAACCATTTTGGGACGATTAACGATTTCAAAGACGGATTAAATCTCCGCTTACGCGTTAATAGCGCGAAATATATCGCGCGTTAATTGTCCCAAATTGGCCAAAATGGCAATCTTTAAACCCCCATAACTTAACGAAAAACAATCACAGGTGAAATATCTTTTCAAATTTAAGCTCAGGACAACAATACCTTTTGAATGATATAAAAAAAATCGTCAAAAATGGCTAGTTAAAAAGTCGAAATTTGTCTGAAGAAAAAGAAAACCTACCCCGAGCACAAATATTCCGTTACTTTCGTATCGAAAGTCGGAACAATAAGAAAAATTACATTTTTACACAGCATTTGTTCCTTTAAGTCAATTTATCTTTAATAACTACTGCTGTAATTTAGAGCCTTCCAACTTTTGAGAACTTCATTTTCCTGCATTCATATTGGTCGAATAACGTACCTGTTTTGTGGGCTATCTTCTTAAAAATCTCCTTCCTTTGCTTGAAAAAGATTTTAGTTAAGTTCCAATCATTTGATGCCACCCGAACGGGTCAAAATTGAAAACTAAAAAACAGTCCAACCAGATAATAACTTTTCTCGGCAGCGATAAAACTTGAAAAATAGCCAACATACGGCAATTTAAAATACATTTCCCGGTGCGTAAGCAGAGAGAAAAACACTTTACGATCTCCCGGGTTAAGACTCAACGTCAAAAATATTAGTCATACAATTCCATACAATTTCAAGATGAAAAAATGAAATCATACAATTCCCATCATAGCATCTTTTCGGAGAACAATTTTAAAGTTTCTTTTCAACCCACGCTACGTTTATAACGCCATGTTTAAACCATGTACGTCTATTTTTTTTTCCATCAAAGTGTAAATTTTAATTTTGCGAGAAAGGATGAACTCGGCCGTATTGATAGCTAGTAACCTTCAAACCCAAATCAATTTTGATGTTAAACTGCCACTCGCTTGTTTTTTTCTTCTCATTCAGTTAGATTGATAGAAATTTCTCAGATGTGAAAAACGAATTGGTTTTGGCTGGAATAATACAAACTTTGTTGAATATGTTGTCAGATAGCAAAATAAAATCCGTGAAATCAATATAACCACAGCTCATAGTTTTATTTCGAAGTTCAGCTTGTATTATCGCAAGTTTTTATTAGCGCGGTCAAAATTCGGAAATTGCGGGCAGGGTCTTTCGATTTTTGAAATCTCGGTTTGCTGTGCTCTGGACTCTTGTGAGTTCAAAGGTATAACTTGAACTCCTTTTAGGTTGCAAGCCTTTCACGATGTAGCTGTTGTCGATTTCTGGTTTCGCAAAATATTTGCATATCTGCGTACATCTATGCTTCTCGAAGAACTGTGAAATACCAGTTGCTCCCATATCTGTAGGTCCGTAGATTTGATCACGTGAGCAAATCGCCGGGTCAGTCAGAGAGTAGTAGTTTCGGGCTCGAACCTAAAATTTGGTGGTACAAAATCCTCCAAATGATAAACCCACTACCACGTGGATCAGTCGAAATTAAATCATTTTCAAAGGAAAAAAAATCTCAATTTTTCAGATGCATGCATTTTAGTTTGGCTTTAAAATGACTTAAAAATTAATTTCGAACCCCTTGCAAATCGCAAACAATTAGCTCTCGGTCCGATGCGTTATAAGTGTAGTGAGAAAACGCGGCAAGTGCTTCGGACCACTCCAAGACTGCTCCGCTGTTTGAGTTGAACTTTTTGTACTCGCCATCGATGAAAGGCTCTACGGCAACCCACTCCTGTTTTGAACACATTCCAACAGACATACTTGATTTGAAAATTTATTCCTAGAAGTCTATTCAAAGAAGATCAGTTCCTCTTGAGAAATCAGGATTTTGCTCTTGCTCAAACAACTAGTATTTTCTGTGAAAAAACAACTTTTCGAAACTACCTTTGAGATTTTAATTCCACTAAAAATCCAAGTTGTTGCAAATGCAAACTTTAAACTTGATAAAATTTTAAAAAAAACAATCCGAAATGGTTTTTTTAAACCAAATTTCTCAATTTTTCAAATGTAAAAATGATGTTTTCCATCTTTTACCAGGTTTCTGGCGTTAATTGGCACCCACCAGTCGCCCTAGAAGATATCACTCAAAAACAAATTTTGCGAGAGTGCTGGTATAAATTTTTAGGAGATAAAAACTAATCAATTCAAGTATCTGATTTTGGAATTCGTCCCTGTTTTTTCACATATCTTTCGTCTTCGTCTCGAATCCACAAAAACCCTCCGTGGTCTCCAATTTTGTCCATTTTGCATATGAGTGGGGTTATGAACTGAATCGGTCGACTAGTCGGGTGCTCTTTGTTGAAACTTTTTGCCATTCTCTGTGCCTGCTCAGATGCCGCAAGATCTGGAACCCAGTTGTTGTAGTGTCTGGCTACTTTGGCCTAAAAACAGTATTTTAAAATTTTTTCTTTCAAATTTCAACTGAAAATACTGCTAGTATCAAAGCAAAAGTTTTTATAGACCCTCATTTTCCTTAGTTTGTCTGTGGGGTTGTCTAAAAAAAGTCAAAAAATTTCTAGTCTTCACTGCCATAATCGTTTACGCAAAATTTTCGATCTAGCTCATAATTACAGAGACCAATTAGCTGGCCTCATTTCTTTTTGAAAAGATTTTTTAAGCCTGTTATAAATGAATTATTAAATTGTGCTGAAGTGTTGATTAGCATTGATATGAGATTGAAGTTCCGCATTATTTAATTTATCTTAGAAACGTCTAAAACTTTACAGAAAACGGATTACGGTTAAAATTATCTTCCTGTACTTAAGCTTAGGCTGTCATTTTTATAAGAAATACTGAAACTTTCTCAAGAAAAAGCCTTGTTTTGATCCCAAGAATATACTACGCCGATCAACAATTGGGTCAAAATCAATTTAACTTTTTTTTTATGATTTCGAAGAGAAACATTTTTGAACTCGACAAAATTTTATGTTCTGCTAAATTACTTTTTTAATCAGCCAATCCTAATGGATTTGTTATAAATTTAGTCTAAATAATACTGATGCCTTGAACTCAGTTTTTGAAAAGTTTGAGGATTTGATGTATGACAAACAGGCAAAATGAGAGAACTAATTTGCGCAAAGCGCTTCATTGTTCTGTTCTTTTGCGCAAAACATACCATGTTGTAATTGAGTTGCGTTTGCGGAATAATGTTTTTCCGTGCTTTGAAAAAGATAAGGCACTTTGTGTTCCGGTGTATTTTTGGTTGTTCTTTTTCACGCAAAATCAGGTACAACAAAATGTCATCGGAATTAGTTGAGTGATCTTTTATAGCGCTCCAAACGTAGTTAAAAGTTTCTGACATCGTAGCTTCAGTTATAAGAAGAACAGGTTACGTATTTAATTTTTTTTAATGTAGCGTCAGTATTGAGTAAAACAGGTTCAAAAGTTTTGGTTTTAGTCTAAATTCGAGCAAATAAAGCAGGCGATTATCGTTTTAAAACAATTTTGAAATTTAATTTTATTTTTTTGTCTATTTTTTTCTATGAGTTCTGTTTTTTTGTTTTAATTCTGTTATCACACCACGCAGACAAAACAAAACAAATTTGAAAAAAAAAATGTAAACTAATTTCACATGAACCAGCTATCATTGTCTTAAATACTTTTTTTTTGAAAAAATTTGCCAGATACTCAAAAAAGCAATTAAAATATTCAAGATATTGCTTTTAGTCGAGGGTTTATTAATGTGAAGTGTTATTGGATAACTAGCAGTTGGATGGGCAACAAAAATGCCATTCAGTAGACAAATAATTTGTGTTTTTTAGACAATTTCTGCCTAACAAAAACTACTATAGTAGCCTCGGGAGAAATATTGAAAAAAATCACAACCAATTTTTGAAATATAAGAAAAGTACACGCGCTGTTAGAGTAATTTTGAGTTAAAAAAAATCTGGAAATAGCGAGCTATTCACGTTCATTCTTTAGCATACGCATGCTTAAAAATACAATTGATAATAGGCAAGTTTTCTACTTAACCCCTGGGTCTTAAGTTAAGAAATTTTTTCAAAAGTTATCCACCATATGTTTCACATTGATCTTGTTCCAAAATTTGGTATAATATTCTTTTAAGCTGTCACTTCGGCTAAATTTTTCCGCCATAGTTTCCTAATATACAACTTGCACCCGAATTTCGTTGACAAAGTTTTTTTCTTCTTCCTCATCTAACCGGTAATAACTACTGAAATACTAAACTGACTAAGCACCTACTTTGAAAACTTTGGCGACACATTTGCTACCCCCATGTTTTCCATCGCCATTATATGTTCCACGGAAGGCCCAGCGACACGCACCGTGGGAGAAATGTTCCCGCTCGAACAATATCCAGTAAGACCTGTTACAGCAGACACACTTGTTTGAGCTCATAAGAGTCTCATGGCTGCTCGGTGATATGCCCATTCTGAGAAGTGAGAGAAGCTCTAAAATCACAAAAAGATCTAAGATGCCCAAAACTTGTGGAGTTTGTGTTTTTTTTTTTTCACTTTTCTAAGAAGAAAACTCGTGCTCACTTTACATCAGCACGAGTTTTCCGACAATTTGCTCTCTTCGATATTGTTTCTCAGTTTTTGCAAGGGAAAGATTTTTTATGATTAATTTTTAATAGCGCGTGGTAATGTTCAAGGCTCTTGTAAAACAATAATAAACAACTTCATTAAAAAACTTTGGCAGGCTTATTTTTGATTACAAAAATTCTTTATATTCTATTCTATATAGCTCAAAAACGCGCAAAATTCTTTTTTTGGTTGGCCGTTAGTTTTTACTAAGGAAACATTTTTGATTGATAACAGGATCAATTTACTGATGTGAACTCAAAAACAAATGAGGCCATAGTGGCAGATATTAAAAATTTAGACGTGGGGATAGAAAAAATTTAATACTTTCGATGTTGATCAAGAATGATGTATCAAGAAGCTAAACGTACTCGAGTGTATATTTCTAATCACAAATGATCAATAATTTCGAATAAACTGATAAAAACAGACAACTTGATTTAGCCAAACCAGAATAAAACAGTTTCAGTAATAAAACAGAAAAAAAATGTGGCAACTATTGCAACATCATGTTGAATTTTTGTCATCTTGAAGCGCGTTTTGGTCAAAAATCGATGGTGCAAAAATTGCAACATAATGTTGAAATTTGATCAAAATGATGCGCGTTGTTATGTTGTACTTTGGTGACGCGTGAAAAAAATTCAGTTGAATATCTTCATTTTTTAATATATGTTTTCTTCAGATTCTTCTGCTGCATAATTAAATTTTTGTGAGGAAAAATTGCAATTATGGCAACATTATGTTGAAAGTTGACCAAACGGAAGCTGTATTTGAACTCTATTTGATAAATTTGCTGTTGAAAGTGTTACCATGAAGCTGAAGGTATTGCCATTACTTTCTGGTTGAATTATAAAACCAGAATTCGAATCACTTACAATTCATATCAGTCAAAAAAAGTTATTCCCATAAAACTAACAAACCTCAACAGGAATTACTTACCCGCGTTGACCAAAACTTCTTGTCATACAATTTCCATTTATGAAAAATTTCTTCTTACCCTACAATTCCATACAACTCTATACGTACAGAAAGTTTTATGAAATCTCTATGATAAGCAAGTTTCCATATATGAAAATTGTATGATAAGTATTTTTCCAGAAACCAAAAAATTTTATCTTTTTTTCTAAATTCAAATGCTGAAAAATTTTGAGTTGTAATCGACAAGGAACGCAAGTAAAAAAGACTTGGTTTACACAAAGCACTATTGGTTGGACGGTCCTGTATGGAATTGTATAACCATGTATGGAATTGTATGATAAACAATTTTGGTGTATGGAGGTCAACCCGGATAAATTTAATCATAAAAACATGAACAGAGTTGAAATCCTTTAGACGTACAATATCGTGAATGGAAATGAGTCAACAACCACATCCTTGTGTATAACAGAGGTGGGAATCGACATGAAATGTTTCCTGACAGGGACGTTCATGTGAAATTGGTAATCTTTCCTGACAGGGACGTTCATTGGTAATCTTTTAATCAATTAATCTTTTTCGAAGCAATTTTATTCCTACTCATGACTTAAGTGTTTTGGGTTTTATGTGATTTGTTTTTCATGTTGGGAGAAAAAATTCAGCCACTATTGCAGTGATAGAATCTACAACGAGTTATAAAAAAAAGAAGCCTTAAAATGCACGCGCTCTGATACTATTCAATCGACAAAATTTATTTAGCATAATGGAGTTCAATCATTTTGATGGAATAATAACAGCAATTTCACTCGAAAGAAAACGAGCAAACAAAATTAGGCAGAAAGAGTCAAGAAGGCAACGCCCAAATTTATGTCATGTTAATTTTTAGTGTCTGTAGTACGCTTGATAAATGGCCTGTAAATATTTTAACCAAAACTTTCGGGCTTCAAATTTTAAACAGGAAAAACTTCAGAATTTCTTTTACCCTAAGGTCAAAAAACAAAAAATTATTTTTTTCTATTAACACATCAGTTATTCCGCTTGTTAATCAAGCTCGAAAAAATCTCCAAACTAACTTAAATATCGTTAAATAGTCAGATTTTGTATGGATATACGCTTTTAGGTTTTTGTAGCCCATACTGCTTGCGGAGAAAAGATTTTCCTTAAAACAAGGAACAAAATAACACTGATTCGAAGAGTTTAGTGGTTCTGTTAAAAAACACTGAAACTTTTTTACGCTCTTTCTGGAGGGCAAAAATCAGTTTTAGTTCTTGCTATTTCAAAAAATGTTAATCTATTTGCACTATTGTCTTTCTAAACGTTTTTTATTGTCATTGTTATTTTGCGCGTCTACTGGAGTGCAAACATTTTCAATTCTATTGTTTTAATGCGTTTTTATTCTGACTTTCGAAGAAAACGGAATGTTTATACTTGTGCCGGTTTTTTATTGTGTGAATTTTGAGAAGCAATTCTGATCAAAGCTTTTTATAGATTCTGAAAGATATTGTTATCTAGCTCTCAAACAGAAAAATTACAATCTCACCGATGATCATTGTGTTATGAAAATTGCTAACCGGCCAATTTGGGATCATCAACGTGCAATAAACTGCGTTCGTAAAACATGTGGAAGCGGTGGATTAATGCAATCCAAATTGAATTGGGGCAAACCTTTTGGTCTCATTACCGAGACAGACGCTAAATACACCCTTTTGTAGATCACATAGGTTTTGGGGGAAAAATTGGAGAAAAAAAAGAAAAAAACGTTTATGCAAACTCTTTGTTTTCGGGCTGAGAAATTTTTCATCACACTTGTAAGCAGCCATTTATTTTCCCATCACTTTCCCATATATCCGCCAAACTAAATTTAAGACAAAACTGCTCGACGCCCCGAGTGTTCCGACTGCATTTTGAAGTCTAGGAAATTTTCGCTTTAAATGACGGGTGAAATTTTCAAAAAAAAAAGTTTTTTGAGATTTTTTCATCCCCCATGCTCGCATATTGCAAAGCACTGAATAGACACTATGCCTCAATTCATTTTGGAATGATTTTTAAGACTGATTAAATCTCTACTTTTATATAGCGCGCGATAACTGTCCCAGGTTGACCAAACTTGCAATCTTTAAGCCCTTAAAACATTCACTACTAAAACATCAAAGTATCTTTCGAGAAGATGCCGACCGCATTGTAGCCTAGTGTAAGTTTACTTGCTTTGCAATCCAAAGATTTCCGGACCGGTACTCTCACAACTTTGTAAAATTGGTCGGAATAAAAAAACCACCCCAGGCATATATATTCCTCACTTTCTTCGAAAGTCGGACAAACACTATTCAAAATGACTCACCTCACAATTTAAGAAAACTAACCAAAATGGCTAGCCTTAATTCCTTTTGTATATGTCACTGAGTCACTGATATATCAATTTGATAGTTTGTTGTATAAAAATTTGATTTGTCTCTTAATAAAGAGCCTTCCTTGCTCGTATCAACTTGAGGTAGATGTTTTTGCCAAAAAGGCAACTATTGCTTCATAATGCTGAGATTTCAAATAACCAGTCTTTCGTTCTAGTTCTGATTACATTCAGGTTAGTTTCTGTAGGTTGATATATTTATCTGTTGGACAAATACATGATATAGCTGAATTAGAAATTCAAGGTTTGGTATTGCTCTATAATTAAAGAAGTAACCTAATGGATCACATGGTTCATGACTATAATATCATCAGCTCATAAATCAGTCGCCTATGCATAACTCCGAACACGCTTTGCATGCCTGTGGCGATGATGGCTTGCTGAAGCCCAGTTGAACCTAAGTGTATACCTAAAATGAGAACCCAGTACTACAATTTTTCTCTTTCACGCTTGGCGATAGCAACAAAAAAAACATTTCTCAATACTTTAAGTATTTTTAAATGGCGCAGAAATTTTGCCCTACATAAAGACGTACCTTGATAGTTGAAATATTTTACCTTCAAATTGATGTTTCATTATTCTGCGAAAACCACATTTTTCTATGAACCGAATTTAATTTGGTAATTTCCTATAAAATGCTCTCCAACTATAAATTGAGTCAACAACCAAACTGTCAAGTATTACACTGGTGGTAATTGATATGAAAAAGCGGTAATTAATATGAAAAAATTCGTATTTATATGTTCAAGTTTGCTCAAGAATAGTTGAATTGGTAGTATTTGAAAAATGTTATAGTTTTTGAAACAATTTTTTTTCTACGTATGGTATCTAGTATGTCTTAATAGTTTTGATTACATTTTTCTCCGAAAACGAGAATTTTGTACAAAGAAAAAATTATTTGACAATTTCCTTTTAAATGATTTTAAACTATAAATTGAGTTTGCAGCCAGAGTCGTGTAGGCCCAGAGGACCTCTTTTTGAAGGATAAACAAGACTGCTCCTATCAAGGCGAAGTCCTGAAGGTTCTGACTGCCCTTAAGTAAAAACATGAAAATAGTGCTCGAGCAGGAATGACATGAAAAAAGTTAAATGTAAAAAAATAAAAAGAAATGAATTTTTTAAATTTTGTGAAAACCACCCCCACTCACCATAAAAAGTACAAAGTGATAAATTTCGCTCCGTAAAACAAAATAACTATGGCATATAAGCTTTCTTCAACCAATTTGGAACGATTTTCAGGACGGATTAAATCTCGTCTTACGCGTTAATAGCGCGAAAAATCTCGCGCGTTAATTGTCCTAAATTAGTCAAAATTGCCAGCTTTAAGCCCCCGTAACTTTACGAAAAATAATCACAGGTGAAATATTTTCTTTAATTTAAGCTCAAGAGAACAATACCATTTGAATGATATAAACATTCCGTCTAAAAAGGCTAGTTAAAGAATCGAAGTTTGCCTGAAGAAAAAAACTACCCCGAGTACATATGTTCCGTTACTTTCGCTCTGAAATTATCCAACCTCAACCCAAAAAATTGCGGCTCAGAAAATTGCTCTATTTGAAATGAATTTTACACGCCAGCTGTTCCTAGCGTTTTTGCCTAGCACTTAGAAGCGACGATGACTCAATCCGGCTCTGAAATTTTTACAAACTGATTTTCAGAGGCAAGTTTTCTAGCATTCAATTGCGTCTGGAGCTTTTTCCAATTTGAAGCTCATTGCGTTGGGTGTTGAATTTTTTTCTCAAAGATAACCACATTTTTGTTTCCGCTTTTCAAGGAAAGTGACTGAATATTTGGCCTCGGGTTGGTTTTTTTCCATGACAAAAGTTGAATTTTAAATGAATCCTTTTTGACGGTTTTTTCTACTATTGATGTCTTCAGATTAATTTTGAAAAACGGCAATTTAATCCGGCTCAAAAATTCGATCAAACTGAATAGATTTATCTAGTTTTTGTTCCGATTGTCGAAAGTATCAATTTTTGTTCCGACTTTCAACTTCTAAGTAGCCATTTTTGACATAATTTTTAGCATTGAAATTATATTGTTGTCTTGAGCTTAAATTTGAAAAAAAAATTATTTCACTTGTGATCAATTTTCGTTAAGTTATGGGGGTTTAAATATTGGCATTTTGGCCAGTTTGGGACAATTAAACCGCGATTTTTTTTTGCGCTTTTAACGCGTAAGCGAGATTTAATCCATCTTAGAAATAGTTTCATTTTGGTTGAAGGAAGCTTATTTGCCATAATTGTTTTGTTAATAGGAGCGAAATCTATCACTTTGTATTCTATATGGCTTGTGAGGGGATGATTTTTAAGAATTTTTAATTTTTTTTTTGAAATTTTTTTTATTACACTTTTTTTCATGTTTCTACTGCTCCTTAGACCTTAGAAGGCAGTCGAAGGTTCGAGGGCTTCACTCTGATTCGAGCAGTCTAGCTGTGTTTGGTTTTTTCTTCTGACAAGTTTCGACTTTTTAATTAGCCTCTTTTGAGCTGAAAAATTTTGATGCCGTGAATTGGAATTCACAAAGATATTTTACCGGTTTTGAATCTTCTCTCAACACGTGAGCGGCGATTCAAGCCGGCTCAAAAACTGTTCCAATTTGATGTGAGACAAGCTATTTAAAATTGATAAAACAATTCTCGACGCGAAAGATTTTCGTTACACTTTACAACTAATATTTGGCGGAATTAATTCAAAAATTTTTTAAAAATGCCATTTTTTTTTTTCAGTCATTCTCTTCTACCAACATATCCTAGCCAAAATTGCACAATCTGTTGATTTTGCTTTGAAAACCGAAATGAAAAGATGAGATATTTCTTCAATTAGTCAACTAGTTTGTTTCCAGTCACTCATGACTGCCAATTTGATCTAGATGGAAATGCTTGGTTGACAATTCCGTTTTTAATTACTTTCTTTCAAAAAACAATTGAAGACAACTGCGTCCTCCCAGGATTGGGAAAACTTTTTTTGTGTGAACGAATTTTCACTGTAAATCTATATAAGATATTTGATTTATCTCTATCATCTTTAGGTGATCACTGTTTGTTTAACTGTCGCCAGGTTTTACTTACCCGCGTTAGTTTTTTTCATTTGTATTGGTACTTTTTGTTCCGACTTTCGGAACAAAATTAACGGATTATTTGTGCTCGGGGTGGGTTTTTTTCAGGCAAAATTCGACTTTGACGGTATTTTTATATCATTCAAAAAGTATTGTTGTCCTCAGCTTAATTTCGAAAAGATATTTTACCTGTGATCATTTTTGTTTAAGTTATAGGGGTTTAAAGATTGCTATTTTGGCCAATTTGGAACAATTAACGCGCCATCTATTTCGCGCAATTAACGCGTAAGCGGAGATTTAATTCGTTTTAGAAATCGTTCCAAACTGGTTGAAGGAAGCTTATTTGCCATAACTGGTTCGTTGCTAGGAGCGATATCTATCACGTTGTACTTTATATGGCATGTGGGGGATGGTTTTCACAAAAAATCTCAATTTAAAAAAAATTCACTTAATTTCATTTTATTTAATTTTTTCATGTTATTGCTGCTCCATAGACCTTAAAAGGCAGTCGAAGGTTCCAGGGTTTTGCCCTGATACGAGCAGTCTTGTTTAGTTTTAAAGATCGCCTGCCTGCTATAAATCATAGTGGACTTTCTATTAATTACACATACTTTTCAGTAGCTCTTGGTTTTTCCCAGCTGATTTCTAATTAAATTCTAATCTGGGCCTCAGGTTTGATGCTGCTTTTCAAGCCTAGTTAAGATTTTGGATTGAAGTATTCACTTTAGGGTAACCATACGTCGAACAGAAATCAAGCATTCTTTTGCCATTTGATTTTACTTTTCCGACTTTCGTAACAAAAGTTACGGAATATTTATGCTCGGGGTGGGTTTTTTCTTCAGACAAACTTCGACTTTTTAGCAAGCCTCTTTTGAGGGAATCTTTTTTTTCATATCATTTGAAAGTTAAAGTTCTCCTGAGCTTAAATTTTGAAAAAAATATATTTCACCTGTGATCTGTTTTTGTTAAGTTATAGGGGTTTAATTCAGGCATTTTGGCCAATTTGGGACAATTAACGCGCGATATATTTCGCGTTATTAACGCTTAAGCGGAGATTTAATCTGTCTTAAAAATCATTCCAAATTGATCCAATGAAGCTCTTATGCTATAATTGATTCGTTAATAGAAGCGAAAATTGTCGCTTTGTACTTAAAATGGCGGGTCGGGTATGTTTTTACAAAAATCTCAAAAAAAAAGTTTATTTTATTAAATTTTTCATGTTATTATTGCTCCGTAGACCTTACAAGGCAGTCAGTGACCAATCTTGTTATATGTTATATTTGAGCCCATCTAATCAAGCTCTAACTATTAGGCTGAATTCAATCAACTGCTCCGTGGTGATCTAGCTTTTTTTAAAATCAGATTTGAGTAAAAAGGGGGAATCCTAATTTACCATTATCATCATTAGGATTATTGGGACTATAACATACGATTATCTTGAAAGTCTCACTGTTTTCCGAAATTTCCGTTGAGCTAATTTTACTCAACCTTTCATCTTTGTTCGGAACATATGCTTTGAATACCTTTCATGCATTTTTTTGTTTATGTTAGATTTCAAATGTGAAACTAATTTTAAACATTTTTCTGCCAATCAAGTGTGTCTCATGACCAGTCGTTCAGGCGCAGTTGATAATGTGAAATCAGTTAATTGCTCTTTGCTGATTCTATTAATAAAATCACCCAGACTGTGTTTGAGGTCCAGTCTTTGGCCTGGTGGGATGTCTTTTTATTTTTTATCTTAAACAGAATAAAAGCTATCAAAATAAAATTTCCTTTGAAAACCAGAACAGCAAAAATCTTTGTATCAAGAGGATGCCCTGAGTCTATCTGTAGAAAGCCCTTCCTTCTCAAGGAAAGTCATCAGGGGAAAAACACTTAAAGATACAAAACACTTTTGTATTTTATCGAGAAGCTTTGTGAATAAATTGACGAGAAATCAAGATCCGAACAAATTTCGAGATGCAATGTAAAATGTTGCTTATCTGATATAAAAAATTGTAAAAATTTGGACAAAACACACGCATATGAAAAACACGCAATTTTTTCTTTTAGTTTGTTTTGGTTGATTGATCTGAAAAAAAAATTGCACTATTATTTCAAATATTGCTCTAATAATTCAAATATTGCACATGTTTTTCAAGTAAGGCAAGGAAACATGCTTAACTTATGTGTTTTATACAA